TCAACCAGCGCTGGGAGTACTCTCGCTACAACTCGGCGACGATGATCAAGCACAAGTACTACGAAGGCTGGTGCTTGCTCATCTACCCCAACGGCGACGCCACCATGGCCAACTGCGGGAACAACTGGAACGACGTGCACTTCAACTTTATCGCGTAAAGTTGCGACGACAACCTGTGCACCATCACGGCATTTGTGTAAACGGACGTGAATGAATGTTTTCCGTTTGACTTTGTGTGGGCTGTCTCTTTGGTCTAGTGCAACAGTGGCATCGTGCATACAGCTGTCACGTGTACGCGTGTCGGAAGCAGCTGGTCGCCTCACATGTGCTTGTGAGATATTTCGACGGGTTCGTGTGGGACGGTGTCGCGTGTGTCAAGATCAGACGACTCGCCAAAAAGCGGCGCCATCAACGAGTGAGTTGTGTCTATTGTTGAGATCACTATGGAGTCGTCAAGGTTTGCTGCGTCAGAGACAAGAAGAGTACCAGACACCAAGGCGCTAGCGTCAAAGAAGCCGACTTGTCGATGACGAGCGTAGACTTTGCCGATGAAGAGCGTAGACTTGTCGAGCGTAGAGGAGGCTAGAGAAGGTCGACGAAAGTTGTACCGGTCGAAAACAATGCCTCTGCGCAGAAACTTGCAAGAGTGAGCTGTCGAGCCCACGGCGGGATTTCATCATGAGCGCCAGGTGACGTGATAGCAATTCCGGTCCGAATGAGACGGGTCGCGATATCTTTGACCAGTTCGCTGCCAGGGCCAGCTACCGACTTGCGTGTGCTAGCTACAATGCAGCTACTGGAAACAGCCAGCTTGAGACAGGAGCTTGCTGCCGACGCTAGCCGGTGACGAGGAGAGCATTACGACTGATCGCCACATGCGAGAACCAGTTTCGGCCGCGCTGCTGAGGAGGACGACGACACATATCGTGCCTGTTGGGTCGTCGCCGCTCGCATCAAGTAGCTTTCTGAATGCGTTTGACGCGTTCATAGAAGGGTGGCCTTTGCGTGGTCGCTGAAGCTGGCATGGGACCCACTTCAAATATGCGAGTGCATACGGAGCACTACCGCCTACCGGTACGAGGCGGAGGCACTCGCTTGAAGCCACGCTGGTTTCTTTGTATATTTTTTCATTCCGTACTACAATGTCCCGCCGAACTAGGTTCCTGCGGAGTGGGCTGGTAGGAAACCTCCTGGGCGGCGCGTGCCTTGGCGTTGCCCTGGCGTTGCTTTTGGAACTCTTGCAGTAGGCAAGGGCCGCACACAAGTGGGACGAGGAGACAATATCGGTACACGGGCCGAAAATGTCGTTGGCTTGTACCATTTCCGAACCTATGGGAAAGAGCTTGAGCGACTCGCCGCGATACAGTACATAGCCACGGATCGAAGCGTGGGCCAAAACTCGGGGCCTTGGGGTCGGAGGGTCCGGGTCTATCCAGATCCTACCGGGACATTGTACGCTGCCTTGTTGGCGACAAAACGTTGGGCATCATGCTTGCATGAGATATTGTACCTAAACGCGACTTCTTCGTGGCGGCAGAAGTCGTCTTCCCTCGCGATTGAGCACGTCCATCATGGCGGATCCACCCTAGGATGGGCCTTGACCCTGGGTGACCCAGTCGGTCCTATCGAAAGACTCGAAGACAGACAGACAGACAGACAGACAGACAGACATACAATTAATCCCCCGTGGGCTGGTGTAACCAGAGGTTCCTACCAGTATAAGCAGGTTATAAAAGAGAGGCTGACGCCTTCTTTTCATTCTCCATCCAAAACAAACGAAAAAGGGCCCAACCGGTGATCGAAACCGGGACCTCTCGCACCCAAAGCGAGAATCCTACCACTAGACCATTAGGCCGCTCATGCACGCTGCAGTTTTCCCGTAGAAACCGCTGCCAATCTCCTCAGATCCGAAACGCTCGCGCACCACGTTTTGTCACAAGTCGTAGCAAATATCGAGTTGTGGCTGCCGTAAACACCTCTTTCTGTCACCCGATATTGCACTTTCCAGATTCAAATGCCCAATCAAAACCAGCGCTCAAACGACGATGACCAGCGGCAACCCGACAATGACCGAGACCGACCGCATCCGCACCGACGTAGACGCGCTGCGCCACTCGTTTGCGGCCAAGAAGACGCTGCCACTCGAGACGCGCAAGGCCCTCCTACGGCAGCTCCGCGCCATGCTGCGCGACAACGAGGCGCCGATCGCAGCGGCCCTCAACACCGACCTGCACAAGCCCGCGCACGAGACGTTCCTCACCGAGATTGGCCTCGTCCTCGCCGAGATCCAGACGCATCTCGACTACCTAAACGACTGGAGCGCGCCGCAGTACACATGGACGTCGCTCTCGTGCTTTCCCGGCCGGTCCTTAACGCTCGCCGAGCCGCTCGGCGTCGTCTGCATCTTTGGCACGTGGAACTACCCATTGCACGTGACGCTGCTGCCGCTCGTGGGGGCCATTAGCGCCGGCAACTGCGCGCTCGTACGTCTCGCGGCCGACGGGTCGGTGGACGCCACCAACGCTGTGCTCGCCGACCTCATGGCCACGTACCTCGACACCGACATTGTCCGCGCCGTCCGCGGCAGTCTTGACGTCTCAAAAGAGGTCTTGGCGCAGCGCTTCGACTTGATCTTTTGCACCGGCGGTACAGTCCCATGGCCAACGCTTTACATTCAGTACCTGTGTAGGTCCCGTGATTGGCAAGGCGGTGGCCCGTGCCGCTGCCGAACACTTGACACCGATCGTGCTCGAGCTTGGCGGCAAGACACCCGCCATCGTCGACGCGACCGCCGACCTCGAGGTACGATCTCGGCGTCAAAAACGCTATCGAACCCCAAGTCGTTTAGGTCTCGGCCAAGCGGTTGGCGTGGGGCGCCTTTATCAACGGTGGCCAAACCTGTGTCCGTCCCGACCACATTTTCGTGGCGACCGAGGTAGAACATTTGCACCATGGAGTATGTAGCCATATTCTGTCCTTGCAGGTCGGCGATGCTTTTGTAGCAGCGCTCCAAAAGGCACTCGTGGACCTCTTCACCGCAACGCCAGAGACGTCGGCCGACTATGGCCGCGTCGCCAACGTGCAGCAGCTATTCAAGATGAAGGCGCTCGTCGAGAAGGAAAAAGCGTACCTCGTCCACGGTGGCGACTGCAATGTCACGACGCGCTTTGTGGCGCCGTCTCTCTTCAACTACAAGGACGACATGGCGGCCTTTAATGCGAGCGCGCTCATGGACGACGAGCTCTTTGGACCGCTGCTGCCAATTGTCTACTACAGTGACCTGGACGCAGTCCTAGAAACCATTCGGTTCAAGCCCAAGCCACTGGCGCTCTACGTCTTTAGCCGCAACGAAGACCGTATCCAAGCAGCGCTACAGCACACGTCGTCGGGCAGCGTCGTCATCAACGACTGCGTCATGCAGATGGGCAACTTGAATCTGCCGTTCGGCGGCGTCGGCGGCTCGGGGCTCGGGACGTACCACGGGCAGCGCTCGTTCACGACGTTCAGCCACACGAAAGCGGTGTTGCGCAAGTACTTTTGGCTCCACCGCACCCTTGCAGCAGCTGACACTCTACTGAATTCAATGCTGGTACCAAAATGACCTGATTCGGCCAACAAAACTTGGTCGCGAGAAAGTTGAGTGGGCTATTCAACAACGAAAGGGCCCGCGAAGAGCTTCCGCGAAGAAGTGGTGTGTGGCGTCATCATTGAGTTTAGCTCAGCCCCATGGGCGAGTATGTACATGTCCGCAGCATCTCTTGCGCCCTAGGTATCAACGCATGGGACCTCTCAGATTCCGCTCGTCGCTTCAACATCGAGATACGCTTGCAAATGTGCAAGAGACAACATCGCATTACAGTCACATGTTATGTTTGGCATCAGGACTCCAATGGAGCGTCTGCTCGTGACGTGGCACAATCTGGAGACATCTAGGCGACAAAGTTGAAGTGCACGTCGTTCCAGTTTTGCGCGCAGTTGGCCATGGTGGCGTCGCCGTTGGGGTAGATGAGCAAGCACCAGTCCCAGAACACCTTGTGGCGGATCATCGTCGCCGAGTTGTAGCGCGAGTACTCCCAGCGCTGGTTCGAGTTGTACTGCTGGCATTGATAGCCGTGCACGAGTGGCTTGCCAGCGTCGTTGCTCCAGTACGCGTCAAGGCACAAGTTGTCCTGGACGTTGCGTAGCATGTCGTAGTCGTTCGAGCCTTCGGACTGCATGACTTGCCAGGCGCGACCACCGCCGCAGTTGCGGCAGCGGAGGTTGACGACGCCGCCCCAGACCGTGACCCACTGGTCGAGCGGCTCACGGTGGAAGGCCTCCGAGTCGCCGGAGGTCCACACGTTGAGACGCTGGAGACCCCACTGGTTCGACGGGAACTCGCCCTTGACGACAGTCTCGGTCTCGTTGCTGACGGCCTTGATCGTGTCGAGGGGCAGCGCGTCGGCCGTGTTGGAGGTCGCGAGGCCGAGCGCCGACGCGGCGAGGATGAGCGGAGCGTAAATGACGCGCATGTTGATCGGGACTTGGTGAATTCGAAAATGAAGCGTTCGGGACGACATCGGATCTCGATGCTGTGGTTTTGTGGTCGAGGTACATATTTGCACAACTCAGACTCGGTGGCGATCTTTGTCAAGCATCGACTGA